GCAGATGCACATAAAAGAGTGACCCACCGGAAACCATACAAAAAGCCATAGACTCTAATAGATCTCGTTGCTCAATTAAGAAACTGTTTAGTTTATAAGCATATTTTTATTTTCATTCAAAGCTCCTATGGGCTAACAGGCAGCTTATGGCATAGATAACGGTTTTTACCCCACAGTCTGGTTCTCCATCGCAAAGCCACCCTTTGGGCAGACATTTCTTGCTGACCGCACAGGTGAACTGTCCGGCTGGACATCGACTGACGGGACAGCGCTCGTCCGAGCCGTCTTTACAGTCCCGTTGCGAGTTACAATGCCAGATGATTGGAATACATTCTCCACTGTCGCATTGGAATTGATGGGGCTCGCATCCTGATGATTCAGCCGATGGTGTTTTTCCAACAGCATCCTCTGCGAACAACATAAATTAATGGTCAAACTGTAAACAATTCAATGTGGCCAACTAAAACCCATTAAACGGTGCAGGAAAACACTTTCGAGTTTCACTCATCGTAAATATTTGGCTTAAAGTGGGTACATTTCATCGCATGTTTCGTACCAAATAGGTCAAACACCTAAAATTGTTTCACGAGCCGGCCACAGTCAAACTCTTTGGTTTATATTAGATTTTCAGTTTGATCAAGCGACTTGCATTTTCTTCACAAAATTGCCCMATTCGGTCTTGATTGATTCTGGCACGTTTCCCATTAAATAATAGTTTTTACGCGGTTAGAATTTGCCACTCYGCCGGTCAAACAAACGCTCTCTGTTGATKCACTTAATCGCCATTTGCTTATGATTACAAAGCGATGTTTAATTACCGGGCATCTACAGTCCGATTTAATTAATTATCAGCATTGCTGATAGCATTAAAAGTGAATGATAAGCATGAGAATATTTTTGAAACATCCCATTGCTGGCCGCGACCTTAAAAACGGACATGCACCGAGCGTATGGAATGGAAAACTGTTAATCGAATTAAACTTTTTATATTCACGGCTTCGAGGGAAAATGCTGGCCTTCATTAGCAAACTGCCTGCAAAAAATCGAGAAATAAAATCGACTAAAAACGATAAATTGATTTTGGGATGCGCCTCAACACAACAATAACAGTTCAAAGGTCTTCACCTTTGACCTGTCCGATATACCAAGATATCAAGGGTTTCATTGCACACCGTCGAAAATACGCCAAGCAGAGGTAGAAAGTTTTAAAATCAAAATTAAGCGTATTTGGTAATAAATTATCAAAGAACATCAAGAAAATCATTCACTTTTAGCAGGAATTTCCCCAATTAAATAAGTACCTACTTAAGTAAATATGTTCAAATCGATGTTTACTGTGCTTTTTAATGAAACTTTTAAAGTCTTGAATAAAGAAAACGTCCACCAAAAATCAAAATACGTTTTTTTTTGCAAAAAGGCTTAAAGGCTTAAAGCAGCAACAACGCTACACACTGATGATGGTGGAAAAATACACCGAAATGTATTTTGATTGATAAATAGAAACAATAAATGACTGAAACCCAGGAATGAATTTGATTTGGAATTGAAACACAGTCAGGAAAGTATATACAATTAAATATATAAAAACATGACAAAAAATTGGTGGCTCAAAAAGCATTTTTTTACATTCATATTTAGAAACCGACTTGAATGGCACAATAGTTTCACAGTAGAACACATAGTAAGAAAAAATAGCTAAATAACAAAGAGGAACACACGCAAAAAACAGCTCGAACATTGAAGAATCAGAAGGTACGTAGGAAAATCGCACGTTTAAAGTGTGTTACACATATTAAGCATTTAGGTTTGGCAACACTTGGAAAAGGATGCATCTATAATAAGCGAAACGATGGGCAAATACCTATTACAAAGTGCAAATGGTGTTTGAACAGGGTTTAATTAGTGGCCTGAAAAGCGCAGCTGATAAGCAGATAAGTACTTAAATCACCTTTTGACGATAAAAAGTGCATTTTTCTGGCGTAAATATTTTACAAAGAAACCAGACTATTAGCAATTAGCAAACTAAATCCGCTTAAAAAATGCCGATAAACATACTAATAATAAGTCCAGTTGGCACATACTTCGCTTATACCAACCAGTTATTTTTAGGCGTTTACTTTAAATTTAAAACATCAATCTGAATGTTCTGCAGCTGAAACTGCTGTGGGCAATTAAAATCCCTTAAAATAACGTCGGCTTCAGGCCCCATCTGGGCGAACAAAGGCTGTCCCTTCATGGAACTGCAGCATGGTCATAAAGATGTTAATTTTGAATGAGAAAGGGAACGGAAAAGGCCGGCAAGTTCAAGGGCCATAAGAGAAGTCAATGCTGATCACACCATCACTCGCATTTCCGGTGTTTCAACTCAACCAAATGAGCGAAACACACGCACTGCTATAGAAAATGCAATAAATTGCGCTCAGTATATTGATTGATTGATTGGAAGCGTTCCAAAACGCGCAAAACTTGAGAGTGAATACTTTTTCTGTTCCTGGTGTTTCTGTGGTTAATGGCACATTAAGCGGCTATTTAATTATATAAAAATGGGACGGAAAACATGAAATTTTGGCATAATCTTGCACCTAAGTGTGTGATATTCAAATCTCGCTTTCTGGGTCAAAACTACTCGAATTTCCTCACTCACGTTGTTACGACTGAATCGACTTTTCAATTCTCTATCCAACGATGCCAAAACGAATTCTGTGGCTCGAATGGTTCTTGAGAAACTTCGAAAAAAGCAGCGTCATGTTCAAGTGGATTTTGCAACTCAAGAAAAACCACGCAAACCTAAAACTTCTTGAATTCAGGCGTTTTTTGAGAAAACTGCCAACATTTCCTTATCGATGGTTCACTTGCTAAAAAGACCATTTATTTCTGTCTAGAATGATGTACACATGAGCGTTCTTGCTCATTTTGCCTCTGAGAAATGAGCAAAAATGGGACGGAAAACATGAAATGTTGGCATAATTTTGCACCTAAGTGTCTGATATTCAAATTTCGCTTTCTGGGTCAAAACTACTCGAATTTCCTCACTCACGTTGTTACGACTGAATCGACTTTTCAA